TCTTGAATTTAAAGAAATCAAGTAAGTGTTTGCCTTTCCAGGGCTGGAGAGATGACTCATAGATTAAGAACACTAGATGTTCTTCCAGAGGTCCTGAGTTCAATTCCCAGCAACCACATGGTGACTCACTACTATCTGGTGCCCTCTTCTTGCCTGGAGGGATACATGCAAAAATAACACTGTATGAACAATAAATAAATCTTTAAAAAAAATAGTGTTCGCCTTTCCAGCGTGTTCTCAGCCAAATCCCCATATGTTTTGATCATTTACTCAGTCTCATTTGTCCCCTCCTCTTCCAGGTTTTCACCTTGGATGCTTTTGTTGAAAAGTAATTATTAGTTTTCAGCAGAGAAACAAAATGAAATACAGAGCATATGAAAAAAATGGCCAACGGCCCTTCCATGTGATTCCAATATTTTCAGCAGACCAGGAAAAAGGCTTCCAGGTCAATGCCTTCCATGACTTGAACCCAGGTCAATACCTTTAATGACTCAGACAAAAAAAAAAATCTCAATTTCCTTTATCAAGCTGAGACTTGGCCTGGCCTCTCCCTACTGTCTTGAATATCAAGTGACACCTGTGTTGTAATTGGAAAGCGTGGTTTTCTGAAAATGAGCATCAGTAGCCTGTCTCATAAATCTCTCTGATATGGCACTCATACATTAAGAATTCAAAAATATACCACAGTCTCACAACTGAGCACCAAGTTCATTCACTTGCATAACCAGATACCAGGCTTCAGGTTGGGCAATACCTTAAACTAGCAAGGTCAAATAAGAAAAAGGAGACTTTGGATTACACATATCTGAGGGGTAGGGACACTTATCTCTGAGTGGTGGACCATTGCCCTTCCAGGAATCATGGCCTTTCTTGATATAAGAGGTCAATAGTAGATGTAAATCTCTGCACAAGCTCTACTTTCACCCTGGGCACAGTTCCCACATGCAATGCTTACAGCAGCCCTGGAAGAGAGGAGTCACCTTCTCCGTGAGAGACCAAGTGGCATGCTCAGATTCCCACAACTAGCTAATGGGAAATTTACATCAAGTTCTATCCTCAAGTTAGCTAACTAATAGTTAGGGACTATTAGTGCTCAGGTACAACTGTTCTAAGACCCCGTGTTTAGTACAGTATTTTCTATCAGATGGCTCAGGTTGAGGGCTTATGTGGGCTGCTGCTAGAAGATAACCTGATCATCCTCTCACTGCCAGTGATTTGGGACAGGTAGGATTCTAAGAAACCCAGCTACCTACCATACCACTGCAGAGCTGTCCTCTGCTTCCATGGTCCAGAAGAGATTTCCAAGAGTCACATCTGTGATCCAGGCAGCAGGAAGGAAGGGAAAGGAAGACACAGAACCAAATGATAATCCTGCTTTGTCCTTTAAGGAAGCTTCTTGAAGGTTTCCTAGAATGCTTCTACTGACACCATTCACCATAGATGTGGCCAAATGGCTTTGTTTTTAACTAGATAAACATGCTATTCTTTCAGACAGAGTGAGAATGGGTATTGCAAAACAGCCAAGTTAACAGGCTCATGACTACTACTGAATCCTCACGATTGAGTAAATATTCACAGACACCCATTAGCATCATCACTACTACTATCCAGGTACACACACTTGGCTCACATAGAGACTAACAGGGAACCACATATGAAAGGCCCTAGTTTTACACTTAGGACATAGATAGATAGATAGATAGATAGATAGATAGATAGATAGAGTAGAGCTATCACCATGAATGACTTCACCAGTAGAACTTTTTTTTTTAATTTTCAGCATTCTACTTTTTTTTAAGATTATTTATTATGTATACAACATTCTGCTCAGAAAAGGGCACCAGATCTCATTACAGGTGGTTGTGAGCTACCATGTGGTTGCTGGGAATTGAACTCAGGACCTCTGGAAGAGCAGTCGGTGCTCTTAATCTCTGAGCCATCTCTCCAGCCCTACCAGTAGGACTTTGATCTCAGTGTTTTTGTTCTTAGTGAGTTCTGTCCTTGTGCTTATGAGACAAGATGTCCCCTACAACAGCATCCTCACGAAGGAGTCACCCAGGCATTTTAAACTATTTGAAGGATTAATAAGATTTGCTGTGGCTATAGATTGGGGCATATGCTCATTGGGATGACATTTTTGGAGTAGAAACATCTGTGGTCTTTAGGCTTTATGGCCTATCTTTTTTTATTGAATAGGGAATTAGATGCTTCTGGGCCTTTTAATATGAGAGAGACATCAATGTTTTTTGGGATTATGAGTTTTTGCATTTCTTACCCTTGTCTTTATTAACTATCATTCAGATCCCAGAAACCCTTCAAGGTAGGCATTGTACATATTTACAGTGGATGAAAAAGCTTTTGGCCTGTTCAGCAGAAGCATTGTGATCCTCAAACCTAACACTGATGCTCTCCACCACAAGGTTCTCTGCTGCCCTCTAGTGCCTCTCTTCCTATTCTCACCCTCATTTTCCCCACTGCATGACCCAACAAGCTCTTGAAAATAATGACAAAGCCACCATTTTCCAATTTTTATGGCTTACAATGTGCATCATGTATGTTCTGCTTAACAAAACCATAGAGTAGAGGAGATAAGTACATTGGTCAACATCATACATGCATGCTGGTCGACTGGAATACAAACCTGGTCTTACTTGATCAATGAATTTTGTTTTTGTTTTTTGAGACAGGGCTTTTCTGTATAGGCTTGGCTGTCCCAGAAAGCATTCTGTAGACCAGGCTGGCCTTGAACTCACAGAGATCTGCTTGTCTCTGCCTCCTGAGTGCTGGAATTAAAGGTGTGTGCCACCACTGCCTGACTTAACCAATGGATTTTACTACTGTCGAGGCCCAGCTGGCCAATCAATTTTCCTGCCAGACAAGTGTGTGTCAGGCAGCAAGCATTGTGTGCTGAGGGATGACAGCACTGGGGGAGTGAGATGATAGGACAAGAAAGAATAAAATGTGGCATGAACATGCGCTGCAAAGACTGGGAGGGCCACAAGCTTCCCTCTGTTGTCAACACTGGTCTTAGCCAGACTTCTTGATGTTCAAGAATGAGGGGATTTCTCATTTTATGAAGGTGAGCTGCCAACGTGACCTTTAATGGGAAATGCCAAGGCAGGAAGCTGAAGTCCTCATTGTCTTAAGGAATGAAAACAACAGATCTCAAATTCTTAAATTTGGGGCTGGAGGGTCCGTCTTTGTCTTTGTCAGAGGAGGAGGGATTTGAAAGGGATCTCACTTGAGATGGAGCCAACTGTGAAGAAACCGTTCTTAGAGGATAGCTGGATATTTATTTCTCCCTTAGATGGGAAAGTATTAACCACTTAAGGTGATTCAAAGCCTATGAGAGATTGTAGTTTGTCCTTCTGGTAGGCAAGAGAGCCAGGCACTCTTTTTCATTACTACCCTACCCTTCAAGGCCCTAAACTGTCAAGGTCTCAGCTTCTAATCTGAGCTTGCCTGTCAAGGGATTTTCTCCAGGACAAACACAAGCACCAGAAATAGTAGAGTTTCCACAAGTGTTAAACAGTTTCATAAAAAGTTCACACATTTCTTCCTATAGGATTTGCAGAACAATACAACATGTAGGTGTTCTACCTGTCTTTCGTTTCTGTTGCTGTGATAAAATACTCTGACCAAAAAAAAAAAAAAAAAAAAAAAAAAAAAAAAAAAATTGGTGGCAGGCGGTTGTTTTATCTTGCAACTCCAGGTTACAGTTCATCTCTGAGGGAAGTCAAGGCAGGAGCTCAAGGCAGGAGCTTGAAGGCATACTTGCTTGCTATAACACGCAGCATTATCTCCAACCAAGGAATTCACTTCACAGGCAAAGAAGTGTGGCAGGAGCCACAGAGGACACTGTTTTGCTAGCTCACAGACAGGTTTATGCTAAGTTAGCTTTTGATATAGTTCAGAACCATCTGCACAGGGACTGGTGCTGCCCACAATTATTGATCAAGACAATCCCCACAGATATAACCACAGGCCAATCCGGTCTAGGGAGTTACTGGACTAACGCTCTCCTCTCATAACTATAGACTGTGTCAAGTTTACAGTCAAAGCTGATCATGATAATGGGTATTACTGTGACTCTCATTTCAAAAGGAGAATCAGGGCTTTGTTGTAAGGAATAATTTATATCAGTTCTTCAGATCAGACAGATCTATGCAATACATTTGAGACCAATACAGCAATTATGTATTAGGACCATCCATTACCTGCCATCCACCTCTATTAATTTTATTCCCAGACGTAGCCATAACGTAGCATTGAAGGATATACCAGTGTCTAGAAAGCAAGCAGAGTCTTTTACCTCACTCTTGGATAATGGAGAAACTGGGGATGTTATCTTTGCCTGGGTGATTCCCAAATCTTTTTCTTGCCTTCCTGGAGAACCCATAAAATCCAACTAGCATTTAGAAAACTTACATATGCCCAAAGAGTTCTGCTGTTGCAACAGAGGTGTCTGACAGCTATACTTTATGGAAAGCCTAGTGCAATAACTGATAGTTTTCTCTTCTCCATTGCCCTGCTCTTGCATCAAAATTTTAAGTGCTGTCTCATGTTCATCTCACTTAGCAAGAACCACCATTTTGTTATATAATTGTATAGCATCCTTAGAAAAGTATAGGTAAATTTTCATCATAGAGAACAGATTACCATTGCATGATTCTCATACCCAAGACTTTTTTTTAAATACTGAAACAAAGACACAGACTTTGTTTATGAACAAATACGTTGCACGTCAAGGGAATCAGGGGGTTAAAATGAAAACTTCCTGGGTTGCTGGTTCTTGTGTGGACAAAGAGGAAGAAAGGGAGGAGTGAGAAGAGGAATGCCTTAGGCAAAAAGAGAAGCTAGGGCAGGAGGAAGGAGAAGAGAAAGCAGAAGAAGAAAGGAAGGTAGGAAGTCTCAGGGGAGAAGGCAACTTAGGAGGTGGGGACCTGGCATCAGACTCTGTGTATGGGTGACCGGCCAGACCCCCTCTGGCCTCAGTTGGTTCAGCTGGGCCTGCGCCAGAGGAAGAAGTTGCAGCTTGATGAGGGGTCATCGGGAGGACCTTGTGGCCTGGCGCATATGTAGAAATGTCGGCCCATGTTAGGTCCTGGTTTTTTCACAATCCGCATCACACATGGCTCCTTGTGGCCTCTGCAGAGGGGTGCGGGTGAGGGCCCACTCAACACAGACTTCCAGAACAAGGTCTGTACCACCTTTTTATCTTCGACCTCAGAAACGCTGACCTGATCATCCACTGTTGTGGCTATCACATCCTCTTCTGGAGTCTTTGGGGTAATAAAAGTTCCCACGAGAGGCAGCCTAGGAAGTTCTACAACAGAAGTTTTGGGAAGACTAACAGAAGGCTGAAAATAACTCATCAGGTTTTTCTGGCATCTTCTGGAGCCACCTCGACGTTTTTGAGGTCTGGATGAGTACCTGTGGTCCTGTGATTTTTGTTGTTTCTGGACCTGGATTTGATGGCTGGGCTGCAGGACTTGCTGCCCCCACATAGGTTCTTGTTTATGAGGGACTAGGAAACCAAGAATCTTGAGCTGGGTACCTGAAAACTCAGGGAGGAAACGGGTACACAGAGCTGGGCACTGTTTTGCTGGCACACAGGACATATTCAAGACAGCTCCCACAGGGCAGTGGTCAGAGCCCTTCACTTCAGGGAGCAGGAAGGCAGCTTGGAAGGTATCTATGATTAGAGTCCTATCTCCTAGTACATAGTCCAGTCGGGCACCATAGTTGAAATGGCGGGCACCAGTGATCACTGACCAGCAGGTGAAGGCCCCCTCCTGTTTTGGATAGAAATAACGGTAGCTATCCATGAAAGGCCCTATATGTGACCCAGTCTGGCACTCCAGGTCACTGAGCAAGCCATCCAACCACTTACGCCCTGGGTCTTCTTCGAAGCACTCTAGACTGCCAGCATCGCAATGGTCAATGGGACGGTGAGCTGTATTCAGGTCCCCCAGGATTATTACATGGCAGCCAGCTGCCAGGAGTGCTTCTGCTCTGATCTGCAGCAGGCGATAGAAATGCATCTTAAAGGTCAGCCGCTCAGGCTTCCCAGGATCTGCATGTGGGCAGTATACGTTGATAAGGGTCAAGGGCTTCTCTTTTCCTTCCCATGTATGAATCTTGTGCTGTGTGAGGACAGCCCGGCCCTCACTATCTAGAGCCCTTAGCTGCTCTTGGGTGAACTCGGTCATGTTTCCATAGCAACCAACATTCCCATTCAGGTTGGCAAACAGACCACTCAGGCCTTCTTCAGCAGCCACTGGAGTAGCACTGTCCTTACAGAAAGTGGCTACACCAGAATAGCCACGCTGGCTGCGGCTGAAGCTGAAATAGGAGTTATAGCCCTCAACAACAGCCAGTGGCTCCGTCAGAGCATCTCTGGTCACTTTGGTCTCCTGGAAACAGACAATATCAGCGTCCAGCTCTTCCAAAATGTGTCGCAAGTCCGTTGAACAGTTACTGGGCACCTGGCATCCCAGACTTTGCAGGCGCCTCCGGATCCCATTGATATTCCAGCTTACCACGCGCAACATTTTGGTAAACTGTATTATTTCACAAAAAAATGTATAGACATAGGCAACTGTTACCCAAAAGTTAAACTAGTTCCCACCTTCCTCGTGTATTTGCGCATGCGTTCTCTTCCCCCAAACTACCGGACTGCTTGCAGGGGCTTCAAGTTCAGTTCTCTTTGGTGAGAGATGAACTATTGTGAAAACTGAAAGTGTGATGCAGATCACAAAAAGGAAGGAAAGCTGGGTTGTATATACTTGTAATATAATACTCAGGGTGCTGAGGCAGGGGTTGCAATGAGTTCAAGACCTACCTGGGCTACATAGCAAGACCCTGTTCAAAAATCAGGGAAGCGTGGATGGTGAGAGGAACATCTCAGGTTCTTTGGCCGCACATGGGCCCAGACGCCTGAGTTCCTGATTCCCATTCTCCTGTATTCAAACGTCCCCTTAGTGCATCAGGTTAGTTACACCTGGTTTTCCAAAGACTATTACTAAAAAGCAAAAGTGTTCTTCCTAACATTTAACAGTCAACCAAACAGTGTCTGGGAAGACACACAATTCATACACATGGGAATTTGTTTTTGGAAGACACTGGCCATTGAAAAGGCAGTCTTTGGTGGTGGTATTGTCTTTTGTATCTGAGAACATTCAGACTTGAGTTGGTCTGCTTTCAGACAATGGAAGAACACCACAGAGGGTAACTGAGACAAAGCTCCTCTACCTCAAAGCAAATTCTTTGAAGCCATTATCAATTTATTGCTATTAAATCTACTAAACACACTTATTTAAAAAAAAACAACCAAAAATTCTCTGGGTGTTGAGAAGTAAATAACATATTTCTAAATAAAAATGGACCAGGAACACTTTAAGCTGAATAGTAACCAGTGCTGGTATGCAGAACTTCAGTGCTGCAATTCAAGCAGTACTCAGAGGAAAACTCCGTACTAAAATAAATGTATAAGAAAAGAAAACATAATCCGTGTGGTGATGGCACACGCCTTTAATCCCAGCATTCAGAGGGCAGAGGCAGGCAGATCTCAGTCAGTTCAAGGCCAGCCTGGTCTACAGTGTGAGTTCCAGAACAGCCAGAACTATTTCACAGTGAAAAATTGACTTGAAAAACCAAAAGCCCCCCCCCAAAAAATCACATTTCAGATTCTATTGCATTAAATTTAATACAACAACATAAAATGGACAATAATAAGGCTACTATCAGTTTCATTAAAAAAGAAAAGGAAGTTAGCAAATATACACAATATAAAAGCACCACATGAGAAAGTTAAAATGAAATAACAATATAAAAGTTTAACTCTGCTGTATTGAGTAGCTTTTCCTGTCGTATACAGGAAGAATTGAGCTGATCAAGTAATATTGCCAATATTTGTTTGCAAGTTCCTCCATCTCTAGTGTTGACATTGTAGTAGAGGGCTTGAGCAATGGTCATATACAGGAAGAATTGAGCTGATCAAGTAATGTTGCCAATATTTGTTTGCAAGTTCCTCCATCTCTAGTGTTGACATTGTAGTAGAGGGCTCTCCTTGACACCGTCATCTATATACCAGTATAGCTTCTGAGACTTTCATCTTGATGATGCTACAGGGGATCTAAGATCCAAATCATTCAGATATTTAACTACATGATGCATGTTCAGGATTCTTCACACACTGAACAAACCTGACAGGCCTGTGGGGGAGAAGCAAGAAAGGAAATTAAGGGACAGGATGAGGACTGGCAAGATGGCTCATGAAGTAAAGTACTCACTGCCAAGCCCAATGGCCTGAGCATTTGATCTCCAAAGTTTGTGTGGTGGAAAAAAGCACTGATTCCTACAAATTATCCTCAGATGTTCTCATGGTGAAGGCAAAGTATGTGCACGAATGTGCACATGCATATACATACAGTAAATAAATAAACATAAATATAGCAAAAATTTAAGAGGAAAGAGACTAAATGATCCACCTATGGTCCAACTCATCAATGAGTCCTCCTTGGCAACCAAAGGAAAATGGACCACTGAGCATCCATACACATGCCTCTCCTCAACAACAACACTGAAAAATGCCTAACTCAGGAATAAATGACTTGAAAGGATACTCCATTTTAGTTGCAGTTCACTTGTAAGACCATAGCAATAAATACCAAGGGGTGTGTGCGTTAGAAATATATGCAGGTGAAAAATGGACAACTAGTTCAAATACGTCTCAAGTATGTGACAGCTTATGATCATGAGACAGCATATGTGACCGCTGAGACCAGGCCCACCCACAGTTCCTTTTGGGTGAAAGCATGAGACAGCACAGAACTCAGGAACTGTCCTTAAGAGATTTGGATGCTGTCACAGGACCATGCTTCCTCTACACATAGCACACTTTTGGTATCTAACTGGTAAATTAAAAAGACTGTCATTTTCATAAATGTGAGCTAACAAAACTACAGAGGCTATGTTCCACAACCTTCTCCTAGTCCTCTAGCACTCATTTCTGTACAAAGCATCTTTGTACAGACTTAGCCTAGTCAGCTGTCTACAGAGTTCCTTTATTTTTTATTTAAATTCTTTAATTCTTTTATAGTTGATCATTTCTTCTGTTTTTTACATTTAACTTCTGCAGCATGTTGATGGATTTTTTTTTTCCTGGCAATTTCCAAAGAACAGCCAGCTGATTGATGGGAAATTCGGGTCATCTGGGAAATGAGCCATCCGTCTTTTAAATCTGTCCTTCTGCCTTTGAGATATGGTAGGTGATGGTGAAAAGACACAAAAATATTCCATCTCTTCAGCTTGTACATACTTCACAAAGCCTTTTTTCTATGTTTTAGTCTTGGTTGAAGCTATTTCGCACAGAAAAAAGCTCCAAAAGCACTTCTTTGTAGAGGTAGATGTCCCTGCCCGTATCCTTGGCCATAACCAGTTAAAAACAAGGGGCCCCCAGTTTTGGAGTTATGGGTGGCTTTAAAGACATATGCCTACCTATAGTTTAATGGTACTTTTTTGTTAAGAATTTACATTATTGGTTTTGGCTTTAATCTCGAAAAAATAAATCTTTGTAGACTACCATGTGGAAATTTACTAAATAATAGGCATTTACATTTGAATCTAACTAAGGAAATTTCACATGCAAATTTACAGCCAGTCACAGAATTTTAAAACTTGGGAGAAAGGTCTTGGCAAGACATGTTTCTGTTTCCCTGAAGCCCAGCAGTAAAGCAGGAAGTGTGCCCTCTGAGGATCAGTCAGCTTTTAGAGCAAGCTACTGCTTAGGGTTGTCAGGGAAGGAGGAAGAGGGTAAATGGTCAGGCAGCCAGATTTAAGTCATTGGCTAGGGAAACAAGCTGGGTATGGTGGCAGGACAGAGGCCATCATGCATCACACACCACCAAGACCTGAGAGGGATCCCTGAAGCCCTCTCAGCTCACAGAGCTGTTTTGTTCACAAGAAATCAATTACTGTCCTGGATACATGGCTCAGTGGTTACGAGCACTGACAGCTCTTGCAGAGGATCCAAGTTCAATTCCAGACACCCACATGGTGACTCAGAACAATCTGCAATTCAAGCTCTAAAGAACCTGATGCTCTCTTCTGGCCTCCAGGGACATGTCATGTACAGACAGTAATGCAGGCAAAATACTCATACATTTAAAAACAATAAAATATTCAGGGGGCTGGAGAGATAGCAAAGAGGTTAAGAGCACTGGCTGCTCTTCCAGAAGTCCTGAGTTCAATTCCCAGCATGGTGACTCACAAACATCTATAATGAGATCTGGCGCCCTCTTCTGGCATATGGACATATATGCAGGCAGAACACTGTATAGATAATAAATAAATCAATCTTTTAAAAAGGAGGAGGAAGAAAAGGAGGAGGGGAAGAAATCAATTACCTATAGTTATCCTGGCAGGCAAAAGCAATATTCCTTTTCTCCACAATCAACTTCAGCTCATTTATGGAGGAGCCTGAGCATGAGTTACTAGGGAAGAAAGAAAATATTCAAATAATAAGATCAAACAGTCTCTGAGTGTCTTACTTCCTCTGCATAACTGCTGCTGCAAACAGCATTGAATAGAGGTGAATCAGAAGTCCACCTCTTGGGTTCTCAGGTCAGCAGGAACAAGGGTATGAAGTAGTCACTGTCCTTTGTGGATAGAGAATTAAGTCTCTATAAGGAGAGCTAAGTGCAGAGTAAGCCCCATTCATCTACTAAGTCTGTCTGTTCCCAGGGTGTTCTTGTGACCTTGGATTTCTTCACAGGCTGATTCATAGACTACCGCTCTGCTACAAAGTCGTGACATACCTGGAATCTGCTTCGATGTCATGCATCACCCAGGCTTGGAGTTTATGAACCTTATTTGGGTCCAGATTAAAGACTTCCACACTTCCAAAGGTGCTAAAACAGAAGAGATAAATAACATCCTTGACCCCAGGCCAAAATGCAAGGCATCCATAACTCCTGCCACAATCCAGCCAGTCAGACATCACTGAGTAGAACCTACCTTGCCTCTCACCTTCCTTCATTCCATATGACTCTTGGTTACCATTTTCAAAACAAGATTTTTTTCAAGATAAGGTTTCTCTATGTTACAGTTCTGGCTGTACTGGAACTCACTCTGAGATCAGGCTAGCCTCAAACTCACTGAGATCTGACTGCCTCTGCTTCCCAGTGCACCACCACTGCCCAGCTCAAGATAAGATTTTTAACTACACTTTGGTGCTGATTAATGTATATAAATAATATACTTGATGTTCAAAGAAGGGCATTACCAAAAAGCTGGTTACAACCATAGAGTCTCCACTCATCAATACCTATCTCAATTCTTCCTTGTTAGTGTGAACAGCTACCTCACATGTGGCAGAGACTTAGCTCTGTAATATCAGATGACAGATTCTGAAACTTCCACCCAAACTCCCATAGGAAAAGAGGGTCAGAAGCAGACAAAAGAGTTATCACTGCTTTGTACAATTAAATACTAAAACAGAAGAGAGGAAGAATAAATAGTGGGTACCTACAGTTCCCAGAGAAAATTAATATGTGCTTCCATCTTCAGAACATTTTTATCAGAGAAAAATGAGAGAATAAAGGCCATGGATGTGGTAGAAACTAACATGAAAAGAAGGCCAGAGATGGGAGGCTTGAGAATGGGCCATTTCAGTTCCGAGGATTAATGAGAAAATAATAGCTGATGTGCACTGGGAAGTTTTCACTAGGCATTGAGCTTAGCACTGTTCACAGCACATCTTGATTTATCTCTATAGCATCCTCACCTTATCACTATGTATACAGGGACTCCCAGAAGTTAGATGCCTGCTTGAGGTCACACAAGGTATTTGTAATGATCTCTGGTGTGTCCACCCTGTTAAACAACTACAGTGCTTTGCTGACAATGCTGCCAACAGAGGATGAAGAGCAGAGCCCAGCATGGCTTCTGATGTCCCAATGATACCTCTATTGTTCAAGTGGATTTCCCACAGGGGAAAGAGAAGTGAGCCATTATTCTTGAATGGTGAGGATGCAGACAGGGAAAAGTGGGGAGGCAGGCCAGACAGTATGGGTGAAATGGGAGGGTAGAATGTGAGGGGGAAAGAAAACTGAGAAAATTATGTGTGACCTCAAAAAGTCAAGAACAATGGCTGGAAACTATGCAATGGCCCTTAGGAACATTGGAAAATTTTAGACAAAGGAAAAACCAAACCAAACATTATCCCAGGAAGAAAAATATCTTCAGAGAATACAAAATCTTTGCTCTTTTTAAGCTCAGCTCTTCAGGACTTGAAAGAAGGCACATCCTTTTGAGGAATGCCATGCCCATTAGGAGACTTACAATAACTGCAATAACTAACCCTTGCAAACAGGATACAAAGAAAGGAAAGAAGTACCTGTTTTTATAAAATGGTTCACTGAGGGACCCATTGAGCATCACTTGGACTACACCACAGGCAGCTTCTGCAAACTTAAAAAAGAAGTCCATCATTATTCTCCATTCAGCAATTCCATTAAAAAGAGTATGTAATATTAGCTAGGAGAGAGAGAACAGTGTCTACACTTTTAGCACAGAAATGGTGAATCTATCCAATAATCTAAGCCATTGGAAGTATTTGTTTTGCATGAGTTCTTGACCCAGCCATGCCAGCCTGTAAATGAAGAAGTTGGAGGTCTAGAGTAGGAAAAAGAGTATCTTTAGAGGGAGGACACAAAGGCACTCACCTGGTGTCATGTACTGTAGAGGCTACATCTTATTTAACAGAAGCAAGGTGGACAATTTACGGGTAAGGGAAATAGAACATTGTGGAAAGAGCAACTTAGATAACAGCCAGTGATCTGGAGGCTCTAACAATGCTCAAAGAGAAAGGAGATTGCTTGAAGAACTCACTCTGTAGACCCGGCTGACCTCAAACTCACAGAGAGGGAGTTTTATTTCTTCACACAAACAACTTTCATCTGGAAAATTTGCTAAGAACTGGATCAAACAATGTGAACAGAGTACTGTCCAGCTTCCTCTGGAGACAGAGCCAGACTCTTTCTGTGACATCTGTGCACAGTACCTAATACATTTCATTGTAATGATGGATTGAACAGCTTTAGCCATCAGTATGAAGAACTCTGTGAGAAATGAGAACTTGGCTCCCCAGGTTCTTCTAGTGCCTTTAGTGGTTTATACCTAGTACATGCCAGAGGGTAGGTTTTGCTCAGGAAAAGATGGCAGAAAAAAGGAAGATACTCTATACTAGAGATTAGGAAAGATCAAGGAAGTGCCACATAGGAGACAAATTTATGTCCCAAAGAGTAGGCAGGATTCCACCAGGTGAAGCTGTGACTGCAAGGGGCCCTAGGTTTTGAACAGCAGTGGTGTTTGTGGGGAAAACTGCAGTGGATGTTGAAAAGGCAATTCACGGAAGGCCGTGTACTTTGTTGGGGAAAATGGCCACTATTCTGCAGGTGACTTTTGCACCACTGAACAACTTGGAGCTGAATTATGAAGTCAGTGGTGCTTGTCTAGCTATGGAGGTAGATAAACAGAGCGACAGACCCCTAATCCTTATGAATAATCATTAAGCACTGACCCAGAAGAGCAATGAACCCCACAAGGTAGAATTTTCATGATTCCACTAAACATTGGCTCAGTTGACCTCAAGGTCACATGACTTAGCAGCAAGATGAGACTCAAACTTGTAAAAACTATCCTTACTAGTCTGTTTGCCTTCCTCTATGAGAGCCTGGCAAGGACCAAGGTGTGTGTGTCACGGTGTCCCAGAAGGCAGGGTGCCTTCAGTCACCTCACCATTGAACTCTTAGTACCAATGGCTGAGATGGTAATCCAAGAAATCACTTAGTATATATAAAACGTGACCTGCTCTAGAAGGTTTTAGTGATGGTGTAACTGCAAAACATATCGCAGAGTGATAACATAAATGAAAGCATTCTCTGAAAAAGCAAGCAAACAAAACATACAATGTCTCTGAGTGTTCAAAACACGTAGAAAGTGTTCAGATAATATTTGTCAAATGGTGGGGGTTCTGTTGCTTAATAAGATAGTGGTATTTTGTTTAGATTCAGCAATGACACCCATATAGTAGTTTATTAAAATATGTCCCCTAAGAATAAGGCCAATCAGAATTAACTTAGTAAGGCTCATATGAACTCACAGAGACTCAAGCAGAAAGCATAGGGCCTACATGAGTCTACATCAGGTTCTCTGTGTATATATTACAGCTTAGCATTTTTTAAATATAGGATTCTGATTATATAAATGAGTGAGTCTCTGATTCCTTTGTCTGCTCTTGGGGCTGTTTTCTTTCTTTTGGATTACCATGTCAAGCTTCAATGAGATAGTTTTCACTTTATCCTTTATATTTTGTTTTGTCGTGTTTGATAGTTTTCTCTTAGGAGCCTGTTGTTTTCTAATAAGAGACAGAAAGGGAGTATATCTAGAGGAAGGAGGGGATATGGGGAGCAGAAAGAGAGGAAACTATAATCAGGACATATTGAATGGAAAAATTTATTTTCAATAAAATAAAAAAAACTACTTACTACTTAAAAAAAAAGTGTCTCCTCACTTCCACATTAATTCTCTTTCTCACTACACCACTATACTTCTAAGTACTTTTAAGGTAGGAATTTAGTTGATACAGGGAATTGAAGAAGAGCAAACCTGCATTTATGCAATTATTCGATCACTGATCTAATTCCCTGACATTTAAAAGACGTAACGAGTAAGCAGACAGTGTAAAATAAAGGCTATTGCTCTAAAATTAGGATGACCTACACTAGGGTCTCAGCTCTGCTACTTACCAGCCAATGACCTTGGATTAGTCTCTCTTAAGAACATTTTATTAGTCCTCAGAGAGTTTTTTACAATGAGTTTTGACCATATTCATCACTTGCCCAACTTCTTCCAAATCTACCCCCTACTACCACCCAACTTGTGTCCTCTTTTTTTCTGTACCTATGAAGTCCAACTTCTATTGGCTCAATATTTGTGTTTGTGCCCTTCCCCTATAATGAGACTGATGACTACTTGTTATGCCATCCTAGAGCCCTCATCCAGTGGCTGATGGAAGCAGAGGCAGACACCCACAGATGTACACTGAACTGAACTCTGGAACTTAGTTGCAGAGAGGGATGAATGAAGATCGAAGGGGTCGGTACCAGGCTTGTGAAACCCACAAAATCAGCTGGCCTGTACAAGAGGGAGCACATGAACCCCAGACTGCTGTCTGGGAGGCCAGTACAGATCCAGACCCCTGAACATGGATGTCAATTAGGAGGCCTCCACACTCTAGGGGGCCCCTGGTAGTGGATTAGTATTTTTCCCTTGTGTAAGAAGGGACTTTGAGAGCCCATCCCATATGAAGGGATGCACTCTCGGCCTGGACACATGGGGGAGGGCCTAGGGGGGAGGGAGAAGTGATTGACATTTGAAACAAGCTTGTTCCTAATTTAAACTAATAAAAAAATATTTGTGTTTGTATTGCCTGTCCCCAGAGCACACTCTTATAGAAAACTGACTTCTCCAAGCAGCCATCAGTTGCCAGGAGATCCCCTGCTAGTGGTGGGGGGGGGACTTTGTGCCCACCTCCCATCTCCATGCTGAGGGTTGTTCTTCGGCTTGTACAGGTCATGTGCCTGTTTTTACAACTGTTGTGAGTTCATAGGTGTACCTGCCCTGTTGTGTGCAGAGGACACAGTTTCCTTGTATTCATTCACTGCCTTACAGTCTTTCTTCCCCTTCTTCTGCAATGAGTCTCTTAAGCTAAGAATATTAGTTTCTTCATCTCTAATGTGACAATTTGTTTAATTCTCATACTACCTATTAGAAGAGAGAAATGGAAATGACATAGAGACATGGAGCTTGTTGAGCCTGAAATTATTATGTTGCTATGTTTTGATTGTGTGTTCTTCTACCCTGATACCCTAATTCATAAGTTGGAAACTGGGACCATTGTGATTATGGGAGTGGGTAAGAGTACAAGGCTCTGCCCTCATGAATAGCATTAGCACCCTTGTGAAGGGGCTCAGGGAAATTCTCTAGGCATCTTTTGTCTTCTGACATGTGGGGACACAGCAATGAGTTGGCATCTGAGAAACACAAAATAGCCCTCATTAGACATCAAATTTGCTACCACCTTGACCTGCTGGCACTTAACCTAACTAAGGTCCTTTCTAAATTATACAACCTTAGCTTTTTGCTAGAGCATTGCAAGTGGACTAAAGCACATGTATTGGCAAATTCAAGTTTCCATTTGCCACACCTCCTCAGATGTGTATTTAATTTGAACTTATAACCAATATGTTTGAGCTTTTTTTTCCCCCTTTCACTTGTTTTTCTTGATTATTTTCATTCTTTCCCTCCTGTGGTCTACTTACAAAGTGCTTTTTCCTGCAGAGACACACCTAATGAGAAAATGTAAATATTCCTATGCAACTTCAAGTGAAATTAGATACAGATGTGAGGTGAGTGAGCTAGTGTTTCTCACCCCAAAATCTAGATCTGGAGTCAGCTAATAGCTTCCGTGTTTGCTTGTGTCTCCATCTTGCCACCTCTAAAGTGGCCATGATGTTCGTGATATTTCATATGGTTGTTGTGAGGATGGAGTTGGGCACATATTAAGTGGCCTATAAATGCAGATTATTAAAACCGTTCCAGTAATTCAACCAATACCTGGTCCCTGGATTAAGCCAAACCTAGCTTCCTAATAGACATAGCCAATGAATGTTATTCACTCATTGGGTGTAGGGATTCTTTCTCTGAGCTTGCAAAGCCTCCGTGGGTGTTCTCAAGTTGGGTGGGAAAGTCTTCTAGCATTTATCTCTGAGCTTTTGTTCTCAGCAAAGATTTACATACTTTCACACCTACAAGGATGTGTGACCCAAAAAGTCTCAAAATCAACCAGTCATTGAACAAACAATATCTTCAGTCAAAACTCTAGAATTTAATTGCTTGAAACTTACCTTTTGGGAAATCACTTTCCAGAACAATGAGACAGGGTTGTTGGGACAGTTTTCACTCCAATGTGGGCAAGAGTCATAGTTCATGTCTAAAACACATAGTTTATAGGAAATAGTTAGAATGGAAAAGCAAGTGTAACTTTGGGCTCATTCTTGGCTGTCCAACCACAGTGGGAGTGTTTCCCAGTAGCATCTGCGCCAAGGCAAAGGCTGGAGAATGGACACATCTCAACCCAATTTAACTAAGTGCTCCCTGAATTCCTTCCAACTCCTTGCCTTCCCCTCCAGATCCCAGACAGGAACAGTGTGATGGGTTTTGATTCACCATTCTGGGAAATGGCAACAAAAGTTGCCATCTCTAAAGAGACCAGCCCCCAACATTCCCCTGGAGTCCAGGAACACTTAGACAGAAGGTCAGGCCTTTTCGGGAAGAGAATTTTATATTCACCGGATACTTCTCTGGTTCCCGGCAATTCTCTCTTGTGAAGTTTCCTTCTCATCCTCCAGAAGTCTGGGGGCTCAGGTGGCCAGGAATTCTACAGCCAACCCCATCAAATCAGACTCAGCCATTAGTGTGGAACAAAGCATTGAGTGTGACTATGTGGTTTCTATGACACTGTTCTCACTGTTATCTGCCTTAGTATATAAACATTTACTGAGGGATAGGTTCTAGAGATAGAGGGTTGAATCAGGTGAGAATCCTGCCTCATGTAGCATGTGATGTAGTGAAGTCAAATAACCAGAGAAAGACTAACTTATATTGTTCAATATTACCAGAAAAAGTTCAGGTTGAATTTTGCTTTGAACAAGAATCACTGTCTTCAGACAGACTCTAAAGAGAAGGGCACCTTGTGCAGATGTCACATGCAGAGGCAAAGAGTTGTGATGAACTCTGATCAGAAAAAAGAGAATGATAGAAGATGAGGCGCCTGAAATACAGGCCAAGCCAACCTGAGGAATTTAGATAATTAGCCTAGAGGTAGAGAGAGATTGTTAGGTTTTGTTTGTTTGTTTGTTTGTTTTGGTTTTTCGAGACAGGGTTTCCCTGTGACTTTGGAGGCTGTCCTGGAACTAGCTGGTAGAGCAGGCTGGTCTCGACCTCACAGAGACCCACCTGCCTCTGTCTCCGGAGTGCTGGGATTAAAGGCGTGAGCCACCAACGCCCGGCTAGATTGTTAGGTTTTTAAAGGAAATAGACAGAGTCACATTTTCACTGTAAGACGCCTGGCTAAATTGTTAGGTTTTTAAAGGAAATAGACAGAGTCACATTTTCACTGTAAGAAAAAGTCTGTAGTATCAGATAGAGACTGACATAAAGGGGTAAAGAGTGATTAGTATAACATTACAACTTTCCCTGTGAGAGAGGGTGTTATTACATTGGACTCAGGCAGTGTGAGTGGAGATGAAGAACAATGTGTCACTAGGCAAATAGATTGATTGGCTATGAAGGGAAAAGAAAGAAAGACCACCAACAAACTATGAGGATGATATCTTAAGGTGCCCACACTAAATATCTCAAATATAACACTCATTTCATTGTATCTATTTAAAACCAAACATTACACATTGAGAGTTTTGAATTGATGAGACCTCTAAGAGGAGTTGAGATCATGAGAGAATCTATCCTCATGAATGGATTAATGACTTTCAGGAGAGATTTTCCTCTAGACTGTATTAGATCTCATGAGACTGGATTGGCTACTACAAAAATGAGCAATTTGGCTTTCCTGCCTCCGTCTCTTGTTTCCTGTCTTACAGGGTCAGTCATTTCATCCATATGTACACTTCTCATTCCTCAGAGACCAAGGGCAACCCTAAGTTCTGAAGCTGATATCTCCAAAGGACAGGGTTTGCTGTTTTCTAAGAGCATGACTTGTCATTAAGGGCTTCGATGGCATCAGCACATGTGCCTATTGGCTTTTCAAGGTCCCTGATCCACCTCAATGATCATTAGGGTATGAACCTATTCACTTTTCAAGGTCCTTTGTTCAGATCAAAGATCTACTCCCATGAGTCCTAAGCCATCCCAGGTGCTTCAAATCCTTACCAGAAGTGCTGGGGTCTCCACACCACATGAGATCATCAGCAATATAGCCCAGTAGCGTGTCCTCCAGGGTGAATATCTTCCCTTGGATCCAGGTATACTCATGGGCAAGGTGTTTGGATTTGCTCCAAAAGAGAGTCTGAGAAAGAAAAAACACACAATTTAGTAGGTCCAAAAATAAATTCAAGGGCTGAGGATGCGGCTCAACAGAAGGATGAGTGCTGGCATTGCATACAGTTCTGGGTTCTATCCCCATAACTTCAATCAATCAATCAATCATCAATCAATCAACCTTTTGTAAATAAAAGAAAGCAGAAGCTATCAGAGTAAATCACACACAGAAACACTAAATATTCAGAGAAGTAAGTTTGATTATTGTCTACCATCCATCTCCTCTGTTCAGAGCTCTGTACTGGAACTCCTGGGGGAGGAGCCACAGAAATCTCCAGCTCACTGAAAATAGGAGGGGGTGATAACTGTGAGTGGGTTGGAGGCCTTCACTTTGTTTCAGACATGTGGAATTTGCTTTAAATACAAATTCTGAAAGAGCTGTACCTCATGACAGACTTTTTCTAGTATATTCAAAGGACTGAAAAGCAGGCTTCTCTGACTCCAGGGCTTGTTGTATTTGCATTTCAGCTGGTTTCTGTTTCTTTAAAGCCTCTAATACTTAGACAATTTCTTTTCACCTAAACTCACCAAACCTGAGCTTCCCCACTGGTGAATAAAGACTCTGACCCCTGGTTTGCCTACTCCATAGGATGGTTCCGAAGAACTAACAAGGTGAGGACTAGGAGAGTAAAAACCAAAATCAGTCTTCAAGTGTAAATTAGCCTTGTGTTATCATTTACTTGTCTATTACTATCATCAGCTAGGGGAAAGTTCCATAATTATATAAATCTGGGTTATTTTTGTTTGTGTGGATGGGGTTGATATTAGATTCTTTTCTCTGTGTCCCATCTCTCTGGTATCTTCCTTCCCCAGATATTCTAAACTCTGATGGTATCCTAGGTCTCCAAAGCCCACCCTCTACCAATACTACCCTACCAACCATATCAAATGATACCTAATACCAAGGTTTCCTCTCTTTCTGCATCCTAACTTTGGTCCTGGGGCCTCTTCCCTGTGGCTTTTATTCTCAAATCTGAAAGAAATACCTGTTACCTTGTTACATGGTAAGGTCTGAGTGACCAACTGAACTAGTGGCTCATAGTCTTCCTTTGTGATGTTGCATGGATTCTTGGACACAAATGCTCTTTTGAATGTATTCAGTATCTTCTTGCAGTCCTGATCTCTATAACAGATAACATGGAAAACAGATTTTTTTAAAAAGTTTTGAAAGGGTCTTGAGAGACAACTCATCAGTGAAGAGTACCTGTTTGATTCCCAGCACCTACATGGTGGCTCACAACTGTGTGTCCAGTTCCAGAGGACCTGACATCTTCATCTGGCCTCCCCGGGCACTACACACACATGGTGCATGAACATACATACAAGCAAAACAACGATATCCATGAAATAAAAATAAACCTTAAAGGCATTTTGGAGCATAGATAACAACAAATGCTCTTCATCTGGGAATCACATACTCAGTGGCGGTCAGTGCTATACACCATCCTATTAGATGTGCATCACATTCCTCTGAGATGGAAATCAGCCTCCATGCTGAGGCTCAGTGAGGTTAAAATTATCCAAGTGATGGATAAAATTAGGAAGAAAATATGAAGAAAACTATTTTTTCTTTCTCATCTGCATATTATATAAAATCACTCAACGTTTCTCAGTGCCTTCAGAAATGACAAGATTTCAGAATACCTAGTAGAGAGGACTGGATGTTCCCAACACAGAGGAGTCATGAATGCCTGAGGTGATGGACATGCCAATCACTCTAATCTAGTCATTCTATAGTAGTGTATACGTGAACCAAAATGCAGTGTTGTGCCCATAAATATGTCCAATTGCCATGTGTCAGTTGAAACTTTAAATAAGTAGGGCTATTGCAGTTGGACTCGTTAATGTAGGGCAGGGTTCAACAGTCTGTGCAATTCATGGCTTCCCTTATTCCCAGGCAATTCTGACCCTGGTTATGTTTGACAATCAGTGGATACAAATGAAAATGTGAAAGGCTCAATAGCATTTCTTTCCAAAGTCTAGACAGAGTAAGTTTAAGTTTATCAGCACCTGCCTTTGAAAACTATACCAGGAAACCATTAGTCATCTCTCTTTCCATGCCATTTGCATACACAAAAAGAAAAATGTTATAATGCTATATACTTTATTGTCAATCAAAATTTATGGAGTACTATCATGGGCAATTTAGAAAATAGACGTTTGGCGGCTACTTTGCTTTCAGTAGGGTTTATGCTTTAATTCCAGTAATTAATGCAGTGGCCTTCTCAAGAACTCTCTGTTCTAAATTCCAACTGTTGTAAAGCTCCTCTCCTTTTTTCTTTGGAAGCATCTTCACGCCTTGAAGAAGAGTAAGATGGAAGGCTGAGAGCAGAGAGTTTTCCATTTCAAAAAAGGCATGGTGGAAAGAGAAGTTCCCCAGCACTGAGAGCCTGCCACATATCAGATGTTTTTATCAGCAAGTTCTTATTTAATCACCAAAACTCACAATGCTCCCAAACTGGTTTTATGCTGCTGATAGGTCTTATACTCCAGTTCAAATTATAGTAAAGACTCAAGAAACCCCAGTCTAAAACCTGAGGGGAGTTCTTTGTTCGGGAGTGGAGCAGGAGCAATGCTGTTGGACCTGACTTGGAAGAGTTGGTCCTACTTGGAAGCATTTGTAATTCAAAGAGAAAAACAAAAGCATCATCTTATATACATTACAAACAATGTTTTTAAAATCTTTTAACCCATTTTTTTCACTTGTAGCAAAATAGCAATAACGATAGGGTTCAAGTTTCAGGGACAAACTCCCACAGTAACATACTTTTAAAGTGTCCTTTCCTTTTAACAACTAAAACTTTTTGTTGTTGTTTTTCTTTTTCTTTCATTTTATCTTTTAGAAAGCTTGCCCAGAAGTGTTGCTGGCTGCCCTCTTTATCATTCAAGCTGAGCATGCCCAAAAGTGCTCCTGTCCACCATCTTAACCCTTCAAACATATGCTTCATCATCTTTACCTAAGCATGCTCCCCAAATGTGTGCACCATCTGTTTCCTTCTTGAACCAGCTCTTTGCAGTGAATCTTTCTCCAACCTTATTTCTCAGCTATACTTGTCTTTGGTTTGCACTCATTAAGATACAAACTCCACTTTTGTTATAATAACAAAATTTCTGAGTCGCTGGTACTATAGACATATAATACCACAATCATAGTGGCACTAGATAGTTTCACTTTGGTTTTGTGGTGCTAGGAATTAAACTCCCAGAATCGCACATGCTAAGCAAGTGCTCTACCATTGAGATTCATCTGCCAGACCCATCTTGACTATTTTTAAATGTACAGATAAATACAGTCATAATGTTTTGTAAACCATTATCATTAACATCCTGGCCTTCCTCTAGCCCACCCCTGGCTACCACAATTCTTTCAGATTTAATTTGACTATGCTAGGTATCTCACAAAAGTGGAATCTTTATATATGGCTGGCTTTACTTAGCATGATGGTCTTAGGATATTCATGTTGTATTGTATCTTAATTAGGGTTACTATTGCTGTGATCAAACACTATGACCAAAGCAGTTTATAAAAGAAAGCTTTCTACTGGGGGTTTGCTTAGAGTTTCAGAGGGTGAGTCCATGGCCATCATGGTGGGGAGCCTGGTGGCAGGTGGGCAGGCATGGTGTTGGAGCAGTAGCTGAGAGCTTAGATCCTGATCAGCAAGCAGCAGGCAGCGAGAACAAGACTGGGTCTGGCATTGGGCTTTTAAAACTTACTTGCAGAGTCATACCCCCAATAAGGCCACACCTCCAAATCATTCCTAAACCATTCAACTGGAAGCCAAATTTTCAAATATATGAGCCTATGGTGGCCGTTCCCATTCAAACCACCACATAGTACATATTGACTTTTCTCCCTTTTGAAGGCTAAACAATATCTCATTGTGTAATGTATAACGATACCAGTTTGTCTGCTCATCAGTTAGTGGGCATGGCATGTAGGTTGTTTCTTCTATACTTTCTTTTATTCCATGTTTTCTGGGAACCTTCCATAAGTACCACAATGTGTCCCAGCTGCTATCAAGATAAACATTTCTGTCCATGAGGCACTTAAACATACACAAGAAAAACACTACTCAGTATTGGAACAAATATGCTTGGTCTTGGCCTGAATGTTAGCTTTCACCACAGGGTCTTTGGTTCCATGATCCATTTTCTCTTCACATCCATTATCCAGTTAAGGACCACATAATTAGCTAATACTGGGCATAGGTGTTCATCCCTTATCCTGAAGAGTAAGGATGTGAAATCTGGGGTAAGGAACATGGTCTGCAGACTTTTACAATGAACTTTTCCCTTCAACATTAAAATGCTTCCCTGTTAAGTCACATACAAACCACAGTCCAAGGTGAGACTGCCAACAAGATCAAGGAGATTGGTAATGAAAAAATCTCAGACAAAACAAAGAAAAGATGGACCACTCTGCTAAGTCCCGTGAGTTCCCACCCTTTTTTTTCCTGCTTAAGGTACATGCATTTTAGACAGGAATAGAAGATAAGATCACATGGTTTTTGCATGTGACCAGAAAAAAACAGTTACTTTTCATTCCCCCAAAGTTCATTTTGTGTGACTTTCCTGGAAGCCATACCTTACAGATTCTGAATATATTTTTGGAAATGATGCTAGAAACATAATATACTCAAGGCCATCCTGCTTAAAGCCTAAAGAAATAGAGGTTCTATTCTGGTTGCTATGGCCAGTCTATCTATGCAGGATCCAGATGACAAGGAAACTAGGCAAGTTCCCTGATTTCTTTCTTTCCCTTGGCAACACTGGTGGGAAGCTAGTGCCTTAGCAAATCCTGCCCAGGACAGGAAACGAATAGGTTGTTTGTGGAGATGTTGAGGGATGAAGGAGAAACAGCTCTGACTTCAGAGAGGTCAAACAACATGACCTCACACCTAAAACCACATCTTAAATTCTTTCAGTTCACCACAAGCAATTCCACAGAATACCAACATCAGATAAAGCAATGGTTGGTTGTAATTCAGATTCAGATGGAAAGGAAATCACAAACATGAAGAAATGATGGTAGAGCCATCCTTGCACATGGTTGATAGAAGTGATGGCTGCATCTTAACTTGTACCAACTTCAGCTTCATGCTTCCAGCCTAGTGGAAAGAATTTATCAAGAGTTTGTATCAGAGAACTAGACCCATTCTGTTGGCTCCCTGACAATGTACAGGTAGCCAGCATCCTTGAATCTTCCCTTGAACTTGTAAAACTAAGCCAGACCCCGAAAATTTCCTGGAAACCACACCTGCCTGCCCCTTACACCCCCCCACACACACACATTTGTGCTATTTTACTTCTTACACAGAGCAACAAACCCATCTCACACAATTATAGAATGATCCCAGTGGTCCTAGGTTAAGGTCTAGACACTAATGAACAACTCAGGGCACTAGAGAATCTAAAGGCCTATGACAAATGGAATGCCTCATGAGTATGTGAGTTGGAAAGAAGTTGCACAAGAAGCCCCTGTCAGCCTTTTGGCTTGCTGGAAAAAAAAAAAAGGTTTTTTTCTGGTGGAGGAGAATCTCAATCTGAGAGCAGTTTTTTTTTTCCTCCCCATTCAAAATGGAGTCTTGGAGGCTAGGCATAGAGTAAGTTAGCCTACGTGTCAGGACTCAAGGTCAATGGTGTGCACTCCTCTTTTCTGCCCCACTGCTCCTGCCAACAATCCTTTACTGCTCCTACCACCATAGACCACTTCCTATAGTTTACCCCTCAAGCCTCCCCTTTCTGCTAGGTTACTCAGGGATGGTTGGTTCCAGGTGACCAAAGGTGGAAAGCAGCAAAGAGGAAAAGAGGGGCAGCTGTGACCATGCCATTACCTTCCCTATGAGCCAGATGCTGTACAAGATGCCAACGACTCATGGCTTATATCAAAATTTCATACCAGCCACTAAGGGAGATTCGAGCCTCTAAGTTAAAAGTAACGGGATCAGAGCTCAGAGCATCTTAGCCCTTGTCCACGGTCAATTAGCCAGCCCCAGAACTGCCTTGCAGGCCAGAGCTTGCTCTTTTTTGCTGGATAATGCTGCCTCCCACAGGAAAATCAAAATGATGCAGCTATGTTCCAAATTGAGTGGCTTCTAGAAGGAAAGAAAGTTACAATTCCTA